CTTTTAACTTTGGAGGTAGCTGTTTCTGGATCCCAGCTCCACTCCTCAGTCAACATCACGGTTTAAAGCAAGCACCTAGATTATGGTATAAGAAATTCAACTCATATGTTCAAATCTTGAGTTTTTCTAGGAGCAATTTTGATCCATAATTCTATTTCAAAGGTCAAGTAGACTTGATTTTATTTGCTTAATCTTATATGTTGATGAAATCTTAGAAGACCTTAAAGAATTGTGTACAGTTGATCTAACTTGTTTTTTTTTCAACCTTTGAAAAAATGGATCAGGGGGCTCATAAGGATTGATAGGAGTGGTTTCCTTAATCCATGGTGTATTTGAGGCTAAAAGAATTTTAGGAATGGAAATTAAAAAAAATATAAGTAACTGAATGCTTTATGTAAATTAATCCTCTTATATGAAAAAGGTACTAGAAAAGTTTTCTATAGCTGAATGTAAACCTGTAACTTTACCTAATGCAAATCATTTTAAACTGTCAAGTGAAAATCTCCTAAAACTGATAAAGAACTTGATAGGATGAGCAAAATATCTTATGCAAATATTGTTGGTTCTATCATGCATTTTATGATATGCACTAGATTTGATTTAGCTCATGGTTTTAGTATCTTAAGTAGATTTATGGCTAATTCAAGTGAAGCTCATTGGTTAGTAATAAAATGGATGTTAAGATAACTAAAATGCTCATTTGACTTAGGTTTAAAATTTTAAATGTGTAATCTTGAAGGCTTATACTGATTCTAATTTTATAGGTGACTTGGATAAAAGAATATCCACTTTTTCTTATGTCTTTGCTCTCTTAATGGTTGTATTAGTTGGAAGTCCTAACTGCAAAAACTTGTAGCCCTATTTTCTACTAAAATTGAATATATTGTAGCATGTGATGCTATGAAAGGAAGACTTTGATTGAGAGGTTTATTAGTTAAAATTGGGTTTATAAATGAAGTAGTTAGAATTTTTACAGATAATTAAATTGCTATACATTTAAGTAAAAATCCTATATATTATGATAGAACTAAACATGTAGACATTAAATTTCATTTTGTAAGAACCATGATTGAAAAGGGGATGCTTAATTTGGTAAAAATTCCAATTGAATACAATTCTTCTAATATTGGTATTAAAGCAACAAGTTCAAGAATTGTTTGAAATTTCTGAACATACATGAAAGTAATCTATTGAGTGCGTTTGTTTTTTTTACTAATTTCAATTTTTTAAGTTTATAATAACTTTACTTTTTTGTTTTTACAAGTTATTAGAGCAAGTGAAACTTGTTAGTAGCGTTTGAGTCCCTTTAGATTATCCATCAATAGTTCAGCAAGGTAGACATTATTGGATTTGAGCTTGATGCCTCACTATTCATTTGGTTCTAATTCTATGATTAGGTTATTTTTTTATTTGGGTTGGTTACTTTTGGTTTCGAGTTTCTTGGTCCACTTATGTAAAATCATGTTTTTTTAAACAGGATTTTGGCTGTTGGAATGCTTTGATGCAATTGTGACCATTTGATCTACGATTTTTTTGACCTAAGTATAAGAGGCCTCTTTCTTTCTCCTGTTTGTCACTTTGTGTGTTTTCACTGAGTGTGGTTCTTAGGGTTTTCTCGTCTGGTTCTGTTTGTGAGTTTTTTCTAGGCTCTCTTTGTGAGTTTTCTATGTAAATCGTGAGGGTTTTTTACTATGATTATTTCAAGACAACAATATGTGATAGAAATTGTATAGATTACTAAATCTTTGTGTTAGAAAAGAGAGGCGAGAGGAAACTTCGGGAAATCTCTGATTTTTTCAGATATTTATACTATTTCTTGGTATTTTTTATCGGGAAATCAAGCGTAATCTATTTGTAGATACTCAATGGGTAATTAAGCCAAAGGCTGAACATCCAAGCCATTAGTGGCGAAAAATTCCTTTGTGTTCTTTGATTTTCTACAAAAGTTAGATTGTCTATAAATTTGTTGTTATAATAATTCTGAATAAAACGATTTTGAGACCAACAGATTTATACATGCATAAACCATAATACTATAACCAAATGTTTGTGCATCAAATATGGAACATTGTGTATAGGCCTAAAAAAATTTAAAAAAAAATCGATTAAACCAATCAAACCGAACTGACTCGGGTCGGTTTGATACAGGTAATTGGTTTGGTTTGATTTTCTTTTAAAAAAAATCATAGTGGTTTGATTCGATTATGGTTTGAAACCACAAACTACTGGTTAATCGAACCAACTTAACCCACTTATATATTTAACTTTTTTTAAGAAAAATAAAAATCAAAGATAAACCCTAATCTCATAACTATATTACGTTTCCGTCCAAATTATAATGTTGCCAGTAAGTAATAGTACTTAAAACTTTCGTTTTTTACAAGCTCATTATGTTATACTTAATTTTTTTTCCCCTACTCAGGTAGTTAGCTACATAATGTACAAAAGGCAACAAAATTATTAAGTTTTCTCTTAATCTGTTTCTAGTAACCTAATTTTATTTGTTAATCAATAATTCTTTTAATACAAAGTTATTTAATTATTTTAGTTCTTATTATCTAATTAGGCTCAAAATTTGGACAATTTTTTTTTTTTTGAAAAAAATTTAATTTTCACTAAAAGTCCAAACTGACTGATTGACCGAGCCGAACTTTGGTTCGATTTGGTTTAAGAGTTAAAGTGAGTTGGTTTGGGTTCAAATTCACTCAAATCCACTAATTTGGTTCTGGTTTCGGGTTGGAATCGAAACCAACCCAAACCAAACAGCGCCCAGACCTAATTGTGTAAAAGGATAATAGACTTAAAATAATTTGACATACTTCATTGGAAATTCTATATTGAAGCATTTTCTTATATCAATTTGAAATATTTTCCTTGTAGCAATCACACTTTGTTTTACAAGTACTTCTTCCAAGTTAATTTGTCGATCAATGTATTGTTTAAAGTGTGTACACTTTCCGACATCCATGTTTAGTGTTAATTGGGTCATTAGCTATAGTCAATTAGTCATGATTTGTTAATATTTGGATTTTTCATTGTCTTTTATTATACAATAGTATCATATATACTGTTCAGGTACTGTAATTGAAGGAATTATTATAACATTTTTTTATTATTACAATTTTGGAAACATTTGCAGAGTTGACAAGTTGTAATTATGTGACACAATGAGTTTCAACCACTTGTTTCCAGGTGATATATTCACGTGATTTTTTCCTATTATCCTTAAAATGTGTGCCCTTTCACCAAATTTCACCGGCCAATTTACATACTACTGGATTATTGATTTGACTGCTTACCTGCACTTTCTTCCTTTTACTCGAGGACGGCACCCTCACTCGTGCCACACTGATATATTCAACAAGTTGATAATAATGATTGACAAATTTATATAGTTCTTGTTCGGTAGAAATTTTGTTAATTGATTTTTTAATTATTAGAGTTAAAGTGGATCCTACTTGTAATAGAAGAATTCAAAAATAATGGCTGAAATAGTGAAATAACGATAAAAAAATGATGCTAATTGGATTAAAATTTCTACCAAACTTGCTCATAATATTTGAATTCTAAGGATTGAGTCGAGTTTCTACAAATCTCGACTTTTTTCCAAGCATACGATTTATTCAAAGGGTCAAGTCAAGCTTGTAAGGCTCTCGACATTGTTCTAGCGTGAAACTATACTACAAGCTGAATCGTGCCACTATAACTCTCGACCTTGCTTGAACATAAACTTATTCAAAAGTTTGAGTAGAATAACTTTAACATGTTGCGAGATTCTTGATGTAGAGTACATAATTTTGTAAAATATTTGAAATATTATTGTCACATGTTGCGAGATGATTGATGTAGAGTACATAATTTTGTAAAATATTTAAAATATTATTGTCTATAATCTATTACGATTTTTATAATGTCTTCTTAAAGAAAAGATGACAAGCTATAAAAAAATGAAATTTAAACGCTTTAGTACTCTATTATTATCTACTACTAGTAGTCTTTCTTCAAAGTTAGTCACTTGCAAATTATGAAATTCAGTTAGCAGCCAATAATCGCAAGAACAAAAACAGGTACATGTTGCTATCGCAAATAGCATAGCCACAGTTTTTAATTTTTTATGCATCTACCAAGAAAATTGATTAAGTCACCATGTCAGAACTAGGGTTTTCACAGAATAAATTATGAATTAGAGATATCAAAATTGGTAAAGGTCCATTGGCTTAGCAAGCACGGCTCGAAAAGGGCCGTATTGGGTCACCTTGAAATCGCCCCAATCTCCATGTCTCGAGTTACACCTCTAAGGCTTCGCCTTATAGTTTAGACTGAAAGAGAAAGGGGATTAATTTACGAGTACAAATTACCTGCAAAATAATCAAAAAGCTGACAGGACCATGTCATGATGCTAGCCCCATCCTTTTCATTTCAGACAGATTAGTGGGGTCAAACATAGCTGGGAATGGGACTTAAGAATGTAAACCTGTCAGGTCGAAGATTTCAGTGAAAATGACTTAAAGAATCCATAGGGGAAATAGATTATGAGAAAAGAAGCAGATTCCATTATAATTAATTATGGGAAATCCTACTTTGATATTCATTTTTACAATCTTGATTAACATTTCACGATGTGTAAAAAATCTAGCCATTGATTTGAATGTATTAATCAAATTCGAAAGGCTTGGCCTTCTTCTAACTGGGGTGATTCAGGTGTTAAATTGTCTGCTACATCATGAAATGTCAATAAAACTACTTAGTATAGCAAATCTTATTAATTATATGCTCATGGTATTACGTTTACACGACATAATGCATTTAAAAACCATTTCCCCAATATAATCATTCATTAATCAACAATTTAAAGAATTAGCCCTACTGATAATAAGCTTCTCTCTCAATATGGTATTATTTATGAAAATTGTGCTTATTCCAAAATTTTGATTTGAATTATATTTCTTCGACTTTCAAAATTTAACTTTTAAACGAGGTGGTACAACTTTGTATTTCCTCGATTTGCAACAACAATATATATACTTAATACATCCACATGTTTTAGCACTTCTTTGACATTAGAGAGAGAGAGAGATGGAGTTTAGTATTTTTGAGGAGTTAATGTCTCCAAGGATGGAAAGTTGGGTCACTATTCCTAATGAATTGAATGAAGTTTCACCTAATGTTTGGAGTTTTTCATCTTCTCATCAAATCCCAGATTTTGAAATGTCAAATTCTTTACTTTTAGATCAATTTAGCCATCGATATCCCTTTTATGAGCCCCAAACACTGCTCGATAATTTCGCACTCCCACAGGTTTGTTCTTCATATAATTATCCGAATGAAAATTCAGCGCCAATTCAAGAAGATTACACTGCAAATCTTGAAAATGAAGATTTTGGACTTCTTGACAATGCCGGCCTCAATGGTTTCGAACACGAAACGAGCAGATTTAAGGTTGAAACCTTGGAAGCTCCGAAAAATATGGACAATTCAAATGTAGGTTTTTCTACGGAGAGAAAGAACAAATCCAAGGCGGATGGCCTGCCCTCCAAGAATCTAATGGCAGAAAGAAGACGAAGGAAGCGACTAAATGATCGTCTTTCCATGCTCCGATCAATTGTCCCCAAGATAAGCAAGGTAAATCATCAATTTAGAGTCTACTACATAAATCCCATTTATTTGGTTGATAATTATAATTATTTATTATGCAGATGGATAGGACATCAATTCTTGGGGACACAATAGATTATATGAAAGAGCTCCTTTATAAAATTAATAAGCTGAGGGAGGAGGAGATAGATAAGAATATAAATCAAATGAACTTAACAGGAAACTTGAAGGAGATAAAGCCAAATGATGATCAAGTACTAGTTAGGAACCCTTCAAAGGTATTCTTTGATTTAATTTGTTATCCTCGATATTTCTCATTTTTATATTTTGATTGAAATAATCAATTTTAATTTCAATATATCAGTTCCATGTCGAAAGGAAAGACCAAGATACTCGTATCGGGATATGTTGTACAGCAAAGTCGGGATTATTATTATCAACACTTACTACACTCGAAGCATTAGGCCTCGATATTCAACAATGCGTCGTCAGCTGTTTCAATGAATTTTCATTGCAAGCTTCCTGTTATGAGGTTAATACCTAATGCATGAACTAATCTTATTGATTCTCACAAAATTACTAGTTTACTTAATTAATTAATTGAGACACTATTTTGAAACTACGTAATTAATCATTTTTTCTTTTCTTTTATTTTCTTTTCTTTTTTCGTCTAAAATTTTCAGGCTGTCGAGCATCGTTTGGTCATGAGTTGTGAAGATGTAAAGCAAGCATTGTTTAGAAATGTAGGCTACGGAGGAAGTGACTGCACAAAGTATGGATATTAATCAAGAATTTTTAGAACCCTAGGAAAGTGAGATGTGTGTTCTTTTGAGATTTTTATGTTTTAATTAGTAATACTGTCCTCTGGGTTTGTTTATTAATGCATTATCTGCTCCTTTTATCCCTGTAAGGACCAGATATTCTTATTCATTCAAGAGAAAAGATAATAAAGTTTAGTTTATTGTTGTCGTTCGAAATTTGAAAGTGTCTAAATTTCATTAAATCATCACATGACCCTAATGGAATCATGTTACACTTAATTTCTAGGTAGCAGCTTATGTTGAGTCAGAAATTCTAGTTTCATGATGTTAAAGATGAAGATTTAACATAAATTTGAACCTTTTTTTCATTAATGAGTGGTTATACAACTATAATGAAAGGTTAACAATGAGTTTGTTACTAAAGGCTAGAGACCAATAATGCAATTTTCTGATTGACAATTACTGAGTTATAGGATAAGAACTCTAAGCACTTATGCACAACAATATATTATTGTATATTTGTAAATGAAGATGACTACTATACATTTTTAACAACAAATTAAAACGTTGTGTTACTTTTTTTTAGTAAGCTGGCCTTAAAAAGGCAACACGTGGAAGCCCTACTAACGTCATAAGAAGAGTTAGCCTCAAAACATACGAAAAAAGGGAAGCAATAAGTTTACAAATGCTACAAGAGCCGAAGTCCTTGTTTTGGCAGAAGTGCCACTCAACACAACGTATTTCAAGGCCCAGACAAAGGGTCTATGCCGAAGGCCCTATGTTCACCACCAGTCGAAGCCTTAAAAGACGAGGCTGAAGTCTTGAGAGACAAAAGACCACCATATTTGTCGACCTGGCAAATATTTTTATGAAAGACTAATCGGACGTCTATTTTATCTTGTGTCAAGAATCTCAGCCTAAAAATATAGGGTAGTTGACTCTTTGCCAATGTAACAAAGGTATGTTTAAGAAAGATGTGATGTATAGAAAAAAGAGGTAGGGGCACGTGGTTCGAATTCAAAGGTCACCACATCTTACCCAAATTACATAAATACCCACTCCTTATAGAAGAAAAAGAGATGATGTGTGGAATAATAAAAACAACACATATAAAGAAAAGGGGGGGGGGGGGGGGAAAAAAAAAAAAAGAAGGGGGGGGGGGGGGGGGGGGAAAATGAGAAAAAGAACAAGGAACGAGTATACTAATTTTTAGCAGATTTTGGAGGGGAAAATAAATACAACTTCATACATTTCTTGCCATTTGATCGTGTCCCTTTTTACTCTCTTTTATCATTTATTTGCAAAAGTTGTGATCGTGCTTGAGCGAGATTATCATTGCTCGTTCGCAAGCCTTTCGATCACTTTGTCGATGCCTGAACTGTTTAATCTCGCGTCGAAGGAGCATCTCCTGCATCCATTACACCATTCGATCAAATCAACAATCAAAACGCATCGAAATTTGCCCGTGTGGATGCGAATGGGCCTCACATCTATTGGTGTTATTTTTTAGCGCCAACACATTTGATTTGTAAGAATTGCCGTCTAGAGGTTTTGTTTGGCTGGGCGTGGGGAGGAGTGCCTACTTGATTATGAAAGATAATGAGAATGGCTTATTCAAAAATGAAAAGATGCTTATGGATTAGGTGGGTAGGGTAGGATAGGGTGGGTGGATGATTTTGTTCAGGGAAGGAGAAAATTTCTAAATTCTTTTTGTTTTATGTGTTATTATGTGATTGATTGAAGTGGGATTTATTTTTACTTTTTGACATGTTATGTGATTCCATTTGCAATTTTTCCTTATTTTTGTCGTTTTATTGTTCTCTTTTATATTTATTTATTTAAGGAGAATGACAAATCCGCCATTTAATGGTCAAACTAGAGGGAATGATGAGTTTTGCTATATAATTGAAAGGTTAAAAATGAATTATTAGTTACATTTGGGAAGATTGAGGACGAAAAAGTGCAAATTCCCCTTAATCAAATTCTTTAATTTTTGTTTCCCAAGGTAATAATATGGATTTATTAATAAAAGGTTAGATCAAGATTATGGTTTAGGCCATCCAACAAAAAAATAAAAAAAAATTGATTAGGGTTGAGGACATTGATTACAATGTATAGCTTTGCGTCTATTTGTTTCCAATTCTTAGCCCAATCAGAATGCTTTTTTGGAGTGTTGAGCTATGAATTTTTGACATCTTCTTTCTGTGTGGGTCCCAACTGCTGACAACTAAACGGTCCAAAAATGGATTATTTGTACAAATAATTGGAAACAAACACACACTCACTCAAAATAAGCAAAGGATAGGAATGAGGTTATCTTACGCCTTGCTGGCAGTCATGGTGTGGGGGTTCGATTCCTAAGACATGAAATTGGATTCCTTGTAAGCGTAGTGTACATATAGCTCTTATTTCCTGATCTGTTGGGACACATCCCGCGATTTACCTCCTTCACGAAACTCTAGGGACAGGGCGGTGGGAGCTCTCAAGGTTGGGGTTTAACTATTTTTTTTTTGTTTTTAAATAAACTAGATGCTAGAAAAAGTTGATGGAGTTAGATGTTGACAGATGACACTATTATAAGGCATTGAATAAGAAGGGGAAAAAAATTTAATTAGATATTGACAACGGTAATGTGCAATATCATCTGATATTTATTTAATCAGATGACACTAATATTATTAACCAAAGATATAAATAGATATGACTCATTCATGAAATGATAATTGAAACGGTCATCAGATGAAACTTCGGATGACAAAAAAATGATTCTGTTTGTTGCTTGAAAAAGGTTTGAAGTAATTGGTTTACAGCTAAACAGAAAGCAATTTATTATAACTACAATATTTTATACTGCTCATGTTTTAGATTTATTTCATCAAGTCATTTTTTGTCAACAATGCTGCCTTTGTAGTAGTGAGATCCATAGATTTTCTTTAAAAATATCATTAGATCATATGGTTTTATTTAAGTTGTAACATGGAAACATAACATTATCTAGAGTTGCGTCTAAATGTTGTATACCTTAATAATATTTGCGACCCTACCAAGTTGTCAACAAAACGTAACAAGAAATCATGGTCGTTTATATATAGTAGTTTCAAAAAATTCTAATGGATAGCGACCTCTTGTCCTTGACATGAATTTCGGAAAAATGGTTCATGAACTTGGCACAAAGAAACACACAAGCATGACACTTCTACAAGACAGCAGAAATTCTGCCTCATAAGTGAGACTACTACTTCTAATCCTTCGAATCTTTGTTGGAGTGGGGTCAATATTCAGTTTACACTATTTTTCAACTATTTTAAGTCAAATTATTTTGATAAACGATTCAAATAAAATAATTTGATTGATTTGATTTCATACCTCCATTTTAGTCATAAAATAACATCTTTCAAACAATTATAAACAATTAAATATATTGGTCTGAAAATGTAATTATAACATTTGAGATTGAAACCATCTATACATAAATATCATTAAATCAAATTACTTTTAAAAAATTGGAAAAATTTCAAACCATTTTTTTTTATTTGGTTTCAAACCTCCATGTTAGTGACATGAAGCTTGTAGAACCTCGAAATTTTATAAATTTAATTGTCAATTGATAAAAATATCTCGTATAGTCAAATCGTTATGCAAGTCAGTTTGTTATGCCCAATAATTAATTAAATTTATATGACTTTTTCTTAATAATTGATGGGCTATAGTGGAAATGAGTATTATATTTTATACTTTTATTTAATTTTTAAATGAGCTATAAATACCTTATCAATATTAGGCTCATTTTGAAGCTTACAATAAATGATGGATTATGTTTTCAAGAAAAAGTTATTTTGGATTATCTAAACTCGAGTTAGAGCTAATTAAGAAAACTACGTAGTTAATAATATTAGTTATCGATTTAAACCAATTTATAATAGCAATATTGGACTCATTTGATAGATCGTAATTAATAATGTATATTGGAACCGAGACAAAATTTATTTAGATGAGATTGAATTAAGTTAGAGCACATCAAAAAACGTTGTGATTAAATGAATTTCTTCCCTAAAGATTGACCAGTTACAACGGCCATTGTTTGCTAATTCAAAATAGGATAATTATTTGATTTTTTTTTTTTTTTTAGATGAAAACAAACCTTTTTTTTCTTATTCTATTTATATTATAACTAATTGAACATTACTCCCATTCAAATTCAGTTAGGCCCTGTCTGATAGTTCTTAAATTCCATGGAAAATGGAAAATGAATTCCATTTTTCAACTTTTTTGTATTTGATTGCATTTCTTTTTTATGTAATTCGTTTTCTTGGAAATGGGCAATTTTCTTGGTTTTCAAGGAAAACCAATTCCCATTAGGATACTTTTTTTTTTTTTTTTGGACTATGGAAATAAATTCTATCCCTAATACTAGTAAATTCTATCCATTTAATTGACAATTTTCATGTAAAACAAAACCAAACGAACACTAAAAACACTTTCATTTCAACATTTTTCACGTGAAAAATTATACCAATCAAACACACAATAATTCACAATTCCAGCAAAACAATTTTTAGGCAATTCAATTCCGTGGTTCATTTTCTTTCCACCCAAATTTCATCTTTGCAATCAAACAGATCCTTAGTAATTCATATTAGAACTCCATTTTGAGTGCTTTAGAGATGGTTTTTTACTAACGAAAGCCATCCGTTGCTATTAATAACGGATTATCAACGACTTTCCAAGGAAATTTTATAAAAAATCTATAACTATAAAATAAATATAGTAGCAACGGAATCACGGACAAAATATAGCCGTCATTAGAATTTCGTTTTTAATCCGTGGGTAATTTTTTTACAAAAAATAAATATAAAATATAAAAAATTACCAATGAAGATTGTGACCTAGTAATTGTTGATTGTAAAATTTTAAAAAACTAAAACATTATTGAAATTTACCTACAAATTTATTCGTTGTTAATACACTACATATCTGTTTGTAATATATTTGCATTAGTTTATGTAATTGTAAAAAAATTTCCTACAACTTGATTTGTTAGTAAATGATCATTAAAGATAATAAAAATTGAGAGCTCAACAAACAAAATATGCAAAAAAGAAAAATGAATGGCACAAAAAAGCAAGAACTCGTTCCCCAAATTCTCTCATCCTCTCCAAAGAAGAATCGGGGATATTGAGAGAGAAGAGG